AAGTGATTACTCGTGATTTTTTTAATCATTTCACGTCAAGAAAGGCAATAAAGCCACTAAGACAAAATGGTTTACTGAGTGCAAAAGAATGTAAAAAAATAAAAACACTAAGGTCAACAATAAAAGAAAAGGAATTAAGAAAGCAATAGATAACGATTGACATTACATTTAAATTGTTAATGATTTTAACTAGGACGCAAGAAGCCAGGAGAGAGTTCCACAAGCGAGAAGTGCGAGAGAACAAATATGTTAGCATAGAACTCACGGTTACATCTAGTCATTTCAACTGTAAAATGATGAGACCTTGCTACCAAGCTAGTACTGAGCTTAATTTTATAAAGTCTAGGTACCATAGGAGAAAATTCGTAAGAAGAATTACCATGAAAATATTTATAGAAAAGGCAGAGGGAAGCTACATTACAACGGTGGGAAAGTGACTGAAGCTCAGATGCCAGGTCAGGAACAATAATATTGCAGATTTGGATATTATTAAAAATATTTAGATAAATAACAAAAGTACCAGACCCTATGTGGCAGTAATATTCGATGCATGAATGAATAGTAGACTTATAGATATGTAAGATAGATTCTCGCGGGAAAAATTGTCTACCACGATATTGAACTAACTTTCCTCCTGACTTATCAATTGATTCAATATAATCTCTCCCCCCGCCTCACGTCAACAGAAAACGTTATCCCAAGAAGACGCAATAAGTCACTGATGGAAAACAGATGATTAATAAGTTAGATAATTCGCTTTCTGTGACTATTTGAGTTTCGACCACTACGATATAATACCTTGCAAAAATCATAATGCAAAATGTTTATGATTTCTTCTAAATTTCATGAGTAATCTTTCCTCACTAAAAATAATTTTATCATTGATATCGATAGTGATCGATATCAGATCATTTTTACGGGTGCTACTGTGACCATGTACCAGTGCTACCTGCTGCATGTGGTGGAGGCGGGGTCAGCGGTGACTAAACCAATTCTTCCACCAGGCTTTTCTGGAAAAGGAGGACGACTAGATCCCCAGCAGCAATAAAAAAAAAAAACAATAGCTGACAAAGAGCAGATGAATCTTATAGAGTAAACGGCCATCTTGAAAATGGGGTAGACTGGACTTTATAGCTATGGATGGAACTAGAGCGATAATGACAAGGTCGGAGGAATTGGATAAAGAAACAAGATGATGTGGCTACGGTAGTTTCTTTACATTTATATTCCAGAAAATGTAAACCCTAAAGACATTCTAATCAATATTTGATTGATTGATTGATTAATTTGTTTTTTATGGCTTATCAACCATTTGCAGGTTATTTAAAGCCAGAAAATATTTTTAGATTCTAAGAATTTTGTTTTAGATAATAATCGTTTAGTGGTACAAATCTTACTTAAGATTATGAAGACCCCGTCTTCCCTGTAGAATCCTGCATCATTTCTAACGATTATTTTACTTAAATATATACGTACGAGTTCGCAGGTTTCAGCACTGTTATAGCTTCCCATTGTGGTGTCAAAGGTCCCTTTTTTATCTATGCTTCTTCATTGTTGTATAGTAGTGATTTTCGTGAGTGTTGAATGATTGTTATTTCGATTGTGTTTATTTTTATTTGTTCTTGACCTAAGGAAATGGCCTCGTCCAGCATGGGTTCTGTTATAGAAAGGTAGAATGGTTTTATATCTAGTTGTATAAATTGGCAATTATGTTTGTTTGTTAGGTTGCGGGACCAGTCTGTAGTGGTGTGTTAATTCTTTCAAGTATTGTTTTATTTCTTTTCCCCATATCACTTTTGGCTGTGTTTCTGATTCTGAATGTTGGGTTGGTTCTGAAATATTCTTTGTAGTCTTTTAGTTTGATAAATACTTGCGTTTTAGCGATGAAGATTATTCGGTCGTCTCAATCGAAGCTTTGAGCGATTTTTTTGGCTTCCTTATTGATATCATGGTCTGTTGTTTTTGGTGATTTTCTGTATGCTTTAGTTATGTTGCCCTTGAGTAATTTGTTGTATATAGGGAGCTTAGCTCGTATACATATTTAGTTTTATTCGCTGCGATAAATATGTTAGTTCAATTGTTTATTTGAGCTATATTTTCTTTTGGTTTTTTCTTTTTTTTTTTTGAAAGGCAAAAATTTAAAAGAAAAAAAAGAAAAAGCTTGATAAAAAAAAAGAATGAGACGGAAGTACATTTCTTTCTAAATTTATCACAAATATCACACTCAAGGAAAAAATACGTCTTTAAAACAAAAAATGTCTGCCGCAACATAAAGAACCAGACGACTTCGAAAAAGACTTGATTAACTTTAACATAAAATTCCATAAACAACATGATACCTTAAAAAAAAAAAATACCGCTGGGGATTTTATTTTTATTTTCGCCCATTTAATTTCGATTCTTTTTTCTTTTGTTTTTAACCACAGTAATTTTGCGTCCGAGTTTTTACAACATTTCACCATTCCTGTCAGATCTTCTGTTTTTACAGTGTGAAATATCGAATTACAAAAGTGAGGGAAACAAAAAGAAAAAAGATTTAAATAAAATCAGCAAGAATAAAAAATTCCAATTGAAGACAATTGGCAAGATATTGCGATTAATTTTTTTTTTATTTATTCTTTCTTGTGTTCCTTTAAACGGTTTAAAAATTGTACGAATACTATTCTATTAGTCCCTATCATTACCTTTTCGTTACGATTGAAAATTGCATAAAAGAGGGATTTCTGCCCAAATACATAATATATATATATATATATATATATATATATATATATATATATATATATATATATATATAAATGTTGAAAATTAAGATTTCAAACAGACTGTGTTGAATAAAAATATTTTTGTCTTATTTTTTTAAAATTAGTTTCCTCGACTAGTTTCAGCAAGTATGGCCATCATCAGGAGAAAAAATCCCTGCTTGTTAGTAACAGTGAGCGACAAGAGTGAATGACTCTTTCTGAAGAAAGTGAAGTGTGCCTGTAGATTTCATTTGTTTCTTTGTCGTTAAATCAGTCCTTGTATTGGTCAAAGGCCTTTTAAAAGTTCTTTTTAAGGATTTTTTGATTTTATAAACCATTTCAGGTTGTCATTTGTAATTGTCGTAGCATACCCACGGATGATAATGGGTATGTCCCCATTCACATAAGATAGTAGTAAATACTGTATGTTAGTCTGCAATTGGAGATTTGTCGCCAGCTGTACTGGTCAAACTCTCTGCTTCCGGGTAGAGAGGATCCGCAGAAGAGGCTATGCCGAAGGGCAGAGTCTCGTCTCTGGAAACAGCTACCCGGACTCCATTTTTATAAGGGGTCTACAAGGAATTTTGGCCAAGCCTACGGGCTCGGATACCCTACGTTAAATTCTGCCTTGTGACATATCTGACCGCGTGGGGCGGTTGGTAGATATCCTGCAGTTGGAGATTCATTATGAAATTCACTTAACTCACTTCTAGCACTTATATGTGTTGTTCTTGTCCTAAGTATTATCGTTCATTAGCAAACTTCGATTGATTATTCTATTCTGTAACCTTCCCTAGGTTATAACAGTAAAATAGTATCAAGTAGCAGATTATGAAGCTTTATTTGACCAATTCTGCTTTAACGCTAAGAGGGTTTGTTTTATTGTGAGGGTCGCTTACAAGCGAGAGGGAAAATGGAACGTGCTTATTCTATAACTACAACATTAGTTATTTATCTCGCATAGTTTAGTCTCTGCAAATGTTTTTCTAGCTTTGGTATTCTGAATACCTGCAATATCTGCAGTTATCAAATCCATGTAATCTTTTGTCGAGCTGTGTAAATGTCAGATCTTTTGACGACGCGATTAACAATGCAAAAGATGAAGGTAATGCATGCAAGAATTTATAACCTCCTCTACAATGGCCACCATCTCCAGAAATCGTTATAGTTGTCATTCTCAAGTTGTTTAGGGTATCGTCTGTTTACGGTACCCGATTTTCTGCTACCCCAATATTGCAACTGGATATTTTGCTATTATATTGTCGGTAAAGCCGCAGCTATAGAAAACATGTTTTGCAAAATGAAATTGCAATTCCAGAATCCAGAAGCAATCAATCAAATCGGCCTGCATGAAATCTGGGGTTGGAGATTCGTCAATTATGTTTTCAGCTGTTGTCAATCTGAAAAAGTTACATTTGTTATGATATCTATATCTGTAGTATACGAAAAGTTTCAGTAATAAGATATCTTGTATTTGAAAATATTGAAAATCAGCTTTTATTTATTTATTTATTTATTTGGTGGGGGTCCGTTTTGTTGCTTTTTTTTTAATTAGGTGGTACCGACGTTGCTCATTGGCACATGCCGGCATTTATTTTAAGTCAGATGTCACTGTTTTTGTGAAATGTCCGTATTGATTACTCAGAGCCGTAGTTGTGAATAAAGTTACGATAGAAGGTAAAGAGAAAGCAAAGATGAAAGTAAATCCTAGTGAAAATTTAATAATAATGGCTGACAATGCTTCATCTAATAAGAAATGAAGACGAAAGTAAATCCTAGTTAAAAATTAATAATAATGGCTGACAATGCTTCATCTAATAAAAAATGAAGACGAAAGTAAATCCTAGTCAAAAATTGATAATAATGGCTGACAATGCTTCATCTCATAAGAAATGAAGACGAAAGTAAATCCTAGTCAAAAATTAATAATAATGGCTGACAATGCTTCATCTAATAAGTAATGAAGAAGAAAGTAAATCCTAGTCAAAAATTAATAATAATGGCTGACAATGCTTCATCTAATAAAAAATGAAGATGAAAGTAAATCCTAGTCAAAAATTAATAATAATGGCTGACAATGCTTCATCTAATAAAAAATACGATGAAAATTTAATTTCTAAAATTCATTTTTTCTCTCGCTTCACAAAGGTGTGTATTTCTAAAAATTACGTAACTTAATAGTGACCAGTCGAGTTAACTTTGTTTTCACGTGGCCATCCGAAAATTAATTTGTGAAGATTCGAGAAACCATCTTTGATGAAAATTATTCTCCTTTCTAAAACTCTCTTTGAATGTGCCTCTCTCTCTTTCTCTTTCTCTCTCTCTCTCTCTCTCTCTCTCTCTCTCTTCTTGTTCCTATTTCGTTTTTCTTCTACCACTTCACCACTTAAGCTTCGATTTGAGCCGCCACAGAAATTTGTCATCTCTAAACATCTCTAGGTTTTTGGCTGCCTGCTTTTGCCTCATAATCTTCAAATTCTGCTCTTCCTTAAACCCCATCTCTCCCTCAAAAACGTACGATTCCTTACCATTGTAAGCCATTCTTAATAAGTGATTCCTTCCCTGTAAGTCATTCTTAATAAGTGTAACGTTTCATTATCACTTTTAATAATCTTCTCACGAAACCTGATATTAATCCGTTGCCTCAGATGCCTTTCATTCATTTTCCGCCAACAATATAACATGGATACACGAACACGAACAACTTCCTTTACTGCTCGGCAACGAATCACTCATCTGGTATCCGTCTCAATAAAGCGGAAGTTAAACATGTCCAGATGTAATAGATATAAATATTTGCCAAAGAGACACGATGCTGTCATTCCAGAAACCAAATTGTGATACCGCGTAAATAATTCTAATAATTAATAATAACTAATAATTAATAATAACTAACACTTTATCTCATAAAAAGATAATACAGATTCTACGAAGACGGCCAGAGAAAAAACAATGTAGATGTTATTATAGACACAACGTTTCGACCAATTAACCTCTGGTTATCATCAGGTGTCCATTGATTGGCTGCTATGCCAACGTTAAAAACCATCTTACATTGAACATAAAAGATTCCAAAAACACACCACTGGGATGGCAGCGTAGTGAATATAGGGATTGGTTATATATGTGTTACTGCTATCTAGTGGTCCTGAGTTCAATCCTTGGAACTGACATCACAGGGACAAATATCACACTAATCATCAGCTATTCCATATCAGCTAATCAATGGATACCTGATGATGACAGGAGGGTACTTGGTCGAAACGTTGTACCTATAATAACATTTATATCAATAGAACATTAATTCCAAATAATATAAGAATATTAGTAATTCCTCATCTCAGAAATGAAATAATAGAAAAAAAGAAAGGCGTTGAAAATGGTCAAATTAATTCTAAAGTTGTTTTCAGCTTCAAATTCTATATTTTCCTCAATACAAGGTTTGAGAGTCACTAAAGGCTGATTGATTGATTTATTTATTTATGATGGCTTATCAACCTTTTGCGCTTTATTTAAAGCCATAAAATATTTTAGATTGTAAGAAATCTTTGGCGATAAAAAATTACTGATGAACGTCGTACTAATTAACCCATAGCTGGGTAGGGAGAAGAGGTTGGTTCATGCCTTCTTCAAGGGTATTTACGCCTAAGTGACAATAACGAACCCGACTGGAATTGGAACTCGGCTCTCCGATTTCCAGAGGGAAGCCTTTATCTACTGCAACACCCACACATCCTAGATTACATTATCTACGATCACCCAACTTGGTACTGACCAAGCTCGACGTTGCTTAATTTTAATGATCTTGACAAAGTCCAAGAGAATCTGCAACTGGCATCATGGCTTCAGTCACTCCCCACTCCTTTTCAATGAGTTTCATCTTTGGTACATCGACTTCATGGATTTAAAGGTAATACTAGATTGGCAGTTAGGTCCCATCATTTTATAATTAAAATTTCTAGATGTGACCGTAATTTCGACAGCGAGTTCTCATTATTTGCTAAGTGTAGCCATCAGTTTTATTCTAATAGCTTCTTTTTTTTAGTTTAATTTTTTTAAAAAACAGATTCTTTCTTGTTTTATTACTGACTTGAAAAGACACCATGGAATTTCCCGAAATATTTTGAACTTTCTGCCAAAATGCAACACTTAATGGTTCTCTTCATTTGACTATTTATCGCCCATTTTTCAATTCTCTTACGTCGTCTTGCTCAGATCCACTTTCTCAAATTTCGAGCATTTCGTGTTTCAGTATCAATTACGTTTCGACTTCATCAGCGCTAATGGCTGCGGATGTTTCTCAGTTCTGATACTCCATTTCTTTCCGTGATTTGCCAATTTAACTTACAGGTCTCTCGTCTATAAATATATTCACGTTAATTCTTTTCATGGGCCTTCTTTGGTAATTCAATTTCACGAACTCAAAGCAACAGAAATGTGCTTCTACAGGAGGATGCTGAGGATATCATGGGTCGGACAGGTGAGCAATGACGATGTTTTGGAGAGAATTGAAACGGATAGAAAACTTATATTTAACGTTAGGAAGAGGCAGTTGAAATTGCTGGGACACCTAGTGAGGAAGGAAGGCTTGGAAAACCTGATACTCACATGACAGACAGAGGGGAAAGAGGAACAGGGGAAAACAGCACGTAACATACTTGATGGTCTTGAGCAAATGGATAGTAGAACAGGGTTTGGTAGAAATAACGAAAAGACAAAACTTATTAAGAGCTACGAAGGACAGAAAGATGTGGAGGGCCATGATTGCTATATCCTGAAAAGATACGGCACATAAAAGAAAACTAAATTGTTAGCCGTAACCATAGGTTTTATGTAATCATCATCTTCTGCCTCCTTGAATCATGATATCACTTTGAAACGTCGAGCCGGATCAGTACCCAAATGGGTGACCGCTTGGCGATACCAGATGTTGTAAGTTTGGATTGTAATGAATAATGGCTCGTAATTGTTAATCGGAGAGCCATGTTCTGATTGAAATTAATTAGAAACGCAATTGGGGAAAATTTGATACATGTAGGACATGTTGAAGGCAAGAGGAAAGCAGCAAATAACTTAACGAGCATGTATAAATAAGAGCTACAATGGACAGGAAACTGTGGAGAGCCATGATCAGCAACGTCCTGAAGAGACACGACATATAGAAGAAGAAGAATGAGGATGTGTAAATGGTTGGCAGAACAGGGATTAGGAGAGATAGCAAAAAGACAAAATTTACTAAGAGCTACAATGGACAGGAAACTGTGGAGGGCCATGATCACCGATGTTCTGAAGAGACACGATACATAGAAGAAGAAAAACGAGCTTGTGTAAATGGTTGGCAGAACAGGGATTAGGAGAGATAACAAAAAGACAAAATTTATTACGAGCTACAAGTGAGAGGAAATTGTGGAGAGCCATGATCAGCAACGTCCTGAAGAGACACGACATACAGAAGAAGAAAAATGAGGATGTGTAAATGGTTGTCAGAACAGGGATTAGGAGAGATAACAAAAAGACAAAATTTATTAAGAGCTACAAACGACAGGAAATTGTGGAGAGCCATGATCAGCAACGTCCTGAAGAGACACGACATATAGAAGAAGAAGAATGAGGATGTGTAAATGGTTGGCAGAACAGGGATTAGGAGAGATAACAAAAAGACAAAATTTATTAAGAGTTACAAAGGACAGGAAACTGTGGAGAGCCATGATCAGCAACGTCCTGAAGAGACACGACATATAGAAGAAGAAGAATGAGTTTGTGTAAATGGTTGGCAGAACAGGGATTAGGAGAGATAACAAAAAGACAACATTTATTAAGAGCTACAAATGAGAGGAAACTGTGGAGAGCCATGATCAGCAACGTCCTGAAGAGACACGACATATAGAAGAAGAAGAATGAGTTTGTGTAAATGGTTGGCAGAACAGGGATTAGGAGAGATAACAAAAAGACAAAATTTATTAAGAGCTACAAATGAGAGGAAATTGTGGAGAGCCATGATCAGCAACGTCCTGAAGAGACACGACATATAGAAGAAGAAGAATGAGTTTGTGTAAATGGTTGGCAGAACATGGATTAGGAGAGATAACAAAAAGACAAAATTTATTAAGAGCTACAATGAACAGGAAATTGTGGAGAGCCATGATCAGCAACGTCCTGAAGAGACACGACATATAGAAGAAGAAGAATGGGGATGTGTAAATGGTTGGCAGAACATGGGTTAGGAGAGATAACAAAAAGATAAAATTTATTAAGAGCTACAATGAACAGGAAATTGTGGAGAGCCATCATCAGCAACGTCCTGAAGAGACACGACATATAGAAGAAGAAGAATGAGTTTGTGTAAATGGTTGGCAGAACATGGATTAGGAGAGATAACAAAAAGACAAAATTTATTAAGAGCTACAATGGACAGGAAACTGTGGAGAGCCATGATCAGCAACGTCCTGAAGAGACACGACATACAGAAGAAGAAAATGAGGATGTGTAAATGGTTGTCAGAACAGGGATTAGGAGAGATAACAAAAAGACAAAATTTATTAAGAGCTACAAACGACAGGAAATTGTGGAGAGCCATGATCAGCAACGTCCTGAAGAGACACGACATATAGAAGAAGAAGAATGAGGATGTGTAAATGGTTGGCAGAACATGGATTAGGAGATAACAAAAGACAAAATTTATTAAGAGTTACAAAGGACAGGAAACTGTGGAGAGCCATGATCAGCAACGTCCTGAAGAGACACGACATATAGAAGAAGAAGAATGAGTTTGTGTAAATGGTTGGCAGAACAGGGATTAGGAGAGATAACAAAAAGACAAAATTTATTAAGAGCTACAAATGAGAGGAAATTGTGGAGAGCCATGATCAGCAACGTCCTGAAGAGACACGACATATAGAAGAAGAAGAATGAGGATGTGTAAATGGTTGGCAGAACATGGGTTAGGAGAGATAACAAAAAGACAAAATTTATTAAGAGCTACAATGAACAGGAAACTGTGGAGAGCCATGATCAGCAACGTCCTGAAGAGACACGACATATAGAAGAAGAAGAATGGGGATGTGTAAATGGTTGGCAGAACATGGATTAGGAGAGATAACAAAAAGACAAAATTTATTAAGAGCTACAATGAACAGGAAATTGTGGAGAGCCATGATCAGCAACGTCCTGAAGAGACACGACATATAGAAGAAGAAGAATGAGTTTGTGTAAATGGTTGGCAGAACATGGATTAGGAGAGATAACAAAAAGACAAAATTTATTAAGAGCTACAAATGAACAGGAAATTGTGGAGAGCCATCAGCAACGTCCTGAAGAGACACGACATATAGAAGAAGAAGAATGAGTTTGT